CCCTGAAGAATTAAGAATATTAAATATTAAGAACGTGAAATGACAAGTCTTGTAATTCATATTTCAGCTTTTATTGTATAAGAATTTAGGAACTGTTTCGTAAAACTTTTTGATCTGTTCAAATAGTTTATCTCTTACTTAAGTATTTTCAGGGTTGTAATTTTGATTTATGTTAAAAGATTGCCATTAAGTCAGCCATGCAAGCATTGAGTACAACGTATTTTAACCGTTTCCCCAAACCCCTAAACCAGAAGTGATCCCCATTTCCCCACTAAAACCGTATGTGATTACCCTTTCCTCACCAAAACCGGAAGTGGTTACCCTTTCCAACACAGCCTGTACAGTATAGTCTGAAAAGGTCTCGCTTACAAATGGCTGACAAAATTTTCATCTTCATATACCCAAGATTTATATCGGACAGTTTCAGAAATGAAAGCTGGTCCGGAAATTCACCAGATTAAAGCAGCACGCCTCCAGATTCATGCTAATTTTCATGAAAATGTGTATAAGTGAATAATATCGTCAAGAACCAAAAAGGAAGCAATCTACACATTATCAATGACACTTTAAACCCATGTAGTTTACCAAAAAGAGATAATTATGATATGCTAAAATAGCCCCTACTGCGTTAGTAACGCAGTAGAAAAATAGTAACAAATACTGAAAATCAGTCATTAATTGCACAAAACATGTAAATAATTCCTTGAATCTGGAATATTTTTACTTTTCCTAAAATCTAAGCACATTTTTGTCATGTGTGATTTTATTGAAATATTTTTGCTCATATGGAGGCATATACGTAGCTTTGAAGGTGTTTTTTTCACAGATAAGGAAATAGCAATAGGTAAGTCTGTATTGTCCTCCGCAGTATATATATGTTCACATATACATAATATACATTTATATTGATCTATAATACAAAGATCTTGTAAGTATAAACCCTTAGAATCTAAGAATTACTGGAAAAGTCTTTAAATTCAATCTGCTTAACTTTAAGCATGTGACATGGGCATTTAAATCTGAACTGCATAAAGTGATAATTTATCTTATACTATTGGCAATATCTGGGCAGCTAAATCTCCTGACGATATCAAAATAATTTGCATTAACAAAGTGTGAGATTATGACGTTTTATTTCATTCGAAATATCAAAATAAAAAGATAATGATCCTTAAGACGGATGTGGGGTATAAAGGAGATATATAAACGGTGAGCTAGAGCCCTAAAAAGCGACATATTGTCTGTCCACAAGGTGTTATAATGCCCATTTTTTCTCCAAATCACGTTATTTTGATTTACCACAACAAACTGTTGTGGAAATCTATACAGTAATTAAATATTTCCTTCTTGCAAAACAAGTTTGGGCTGGGTAACTGATTAAAATATTAGGTCATCTAGTATTTCATGGGTAGAAATTAATGCATCCCTCGATTGCTCTACGGCATACGTACGTATAAAACGTCAATGTCACGGCCTCCTCCTCAAAAAACGTACACGTTCAGCAAAATTCAAGATTTTTGAATGGAAAATAATGTATTAACAACCTTGTTGTATAAAACAGTGTTTCATATGTGAAAAAATGAATAAAAAGTATTGAAAAAGAAACTGTACGTTGTTCCTTTGCTCATTTATAATACATACTTGCTATGTATTCTTTGATCAGCCGCCTTTAATTAACTTATCACACTCTAAGTGCATACCTTCCTATATTTATAAAAGTCATCAGGAATGATTGACATTTAACGAGTAAAAATGCACAATTAATATTTCTGCATATTTTTGTATGCATGATGATAGGAAATTTTAGTCATGCTTTTCAATAGTGATCTTATCGGCGGTCGTATCTTATATTAGTATAATATACACGATCATTTTAATATATTTTAATAATTAAATCAAATATCGTATGCGTGACAGCAATTTTTGTTGATTCTGCGATAATTAAATCAATTGATGATTAAATTAATTTTGTATTGTTATGCATTTTTTATCGAAAATAAATCAATGAAGGCATTGTTATAGTTTTATCAATAAATTGGAAACGGGTCGTAGATGTATTGTCAAGTATTTTTGCACTATTTGCAAAAAAATATACAAGTGTTTATGGCAAGAAAGAAAGAAAGAAAGAAAGAAAAGAAAAGAAAAGAGAAGAAAGAAAGAAGAAAGAAAAGAAAGAAAGAAAGAAAGAAAGAAAAAGAAAGAAAGGTAGAAAGATAGAAAGAAAGAAAAGAAAAAAAACGAACGAACGAAAGAAAGAAGGAAAGAAGGAACGAACGAACGAAATGACGAACGAAAGAAAGAAAGAAAGAAAAATAGCATGCCAAATCGTTGATACATATGTTGATGTTATAAGCAAAAAATGTCAAAATCAAACATTTTGTTATATTTTTATACAGTGTCTTTTTACACTGACCTTTTTACACTGTCTTAATACTGTGTCTTTCTAAGACGAAATTCTATAGTTAAAGTATTTTGCTGGATAGATTGAATCACAAATATGCCATTTTTGTCTCGCATATATATATGGAAACGCCGACGGACTTAATAACTTACGTGACCTCTATCCGACTATAAGTACCGCCAATGCTTATCTTTTTGTTTATTTGATATGTATTGATGAATAATTATTTCTTAATTTATCTTGTTTACTATGAATAAAATGACCCAGCCAGAACCGTGGAATGGGGCAAATTCTTAAGACTGATATTTGATAAGCCTTATTTGCATTCCAGTTCCAAACTTAAATTGATGACGTCAGTATTCAGTCGGCATAAGTGTTGCGCATGATAAGGGTAGGTAATTAATCGGGTATTGATCGGGTATTGAAAGATTATTTTTTTCAAATAAGGTCATGATTTGTAAAGCAGTAATGCCCTCTATACGCATCTAGGGCATGATGGGTCACGTGATTTAATGATTTAATATTGAATTGCATTGAATTATATATGATTATCAATCTTGCCAAATTCCGCTGAGATTGTAAAATTTAAATTACGATATATGGCAAATAAACTTACAAGTAAGTCGGTATAATAAATGAGGACTTACAGGAGGCAGTATGCCGAGGGCATGTGGGTTTATGCAATGAATCGAATGTGGAAGGGAAAAAAAGCAACAATTTTGTTAAGTAATGGAATGCGTTTAACACTTACGTGTTATTTTCCATGCAAATATAAACGAGGGGACAAATGGTGCCGATGGCTGTTTTCTTCTACTTAAAATCATTTAGTCATATTGTCATAATTTTATGAATTTACAATGCACCGGTGATTCTTTTTTTTGTATGGTGGCTGATGCGGGCCATTCATGCGAAAAGTGGAGAGAAAGAAAAAGATTCGTCATAATTTTGATACATGATGTTTCCTGTAAAACAGATCGAGTTAATTGTATAAAAATGGACTATGACTGCACAGTATTAGGTGTTATTTCTAATTTCCTATCAATCGCTTCCAAGATATTTTTTAAGATGGCGGGAAAATTGCAGCTGATTCTTGCCCGATCTGGGCCACTTGATTGTAACAGATGCTCGAGAAATATCAAAGTACTCAAAAAATCAAATTTTCCCAGAAATCAATAAGTCACGGATCATGGATGTGTGTTACAATAGCTCTTATTGCTAATGACATTAAATGAGTGTCGTTTGTTCGGTAGCTAAGATCAGATCGTTTTATTGGCGGCAGACGAAAGGCAGACGAACATTCCGTGGCACATGAAAAGTACTTTGTGGGTTCTTTTAGCTCCGTGTTAAAGTGACAAAGATAACTTTTGGCGCTAATATCATAATAGGAACAAAAGCTGAATTGACGTTACGGTTGTGCACGTGTTTTGCGTATAAAATATTGGTCCTATTTCAAGGCAAACAATTTTTTTTAACATTTCACGTGCTCAGAAAGAACCCAAAACTATTACAAATATCAAACCCATTGCCCTGTATAATGCCTGGGACTTAAGTCCCATATATTGCCTAAACATGCTATTTATATTGTTATACCCAATTCAATGGTTCAACAAAAATACTTAAACAATGTCATATTTACATAAACAATTTCTTAATACACAAATTGGTTGCCTAATGCATGTTCTGGTATGTAATTTTCACATAACATGAAACGATCCTCTCAAAGATATCCTTGTAACGTTCATTCATTGTTCGTTTATTTGCGGTGATTTCCGCGTAAATGAGCCCATTCCGTTCATAATGACCTCTTTCAGAGAATAATTGTCACAGAATTTCTCATGGAATTCTGATAACTCTTGGAATGTTTTAATAGGCGAATTCCGGCTATAAATATAGGCCTAATTCAAGATTATTGATCAGGTCTATTATATAGTCGTGTGCATTATAACATCTTTACAAGGCTCTTCCGTGATGTCACAGCGTTACAGTTTAACACAGTCAGTCTTTGAGAAATATTTTCTTTATTTGAAATAACGGAAGCTTCAACTGTAAAAATGCAAAGATTCGATATCGATATAATTCACGAGAAAATGAGCAACATTTATCCAGAGTGACGAGTGTAGTCGGTCATTCATCAACAAGTTACTTGCAGCTTCCGCTTTGACTTCATTACTATTTCATGGACAGATGTCCGGTATTATTAGTTCATGGTTTTCGCAGAATCATAGATTTTACTTCATGGACAGCTTTCCGGTTAAGCAGAATCGTAATTTTTTCACGGACAGGTTAACCGGTTTAGCAGGTTCACAATTATTTCATGAACAGATTTCCGGTTCAACGTTATATCAGCATAACTTCACGAACAATTTTCCGGTGATGCATAATAACATTCCGGACAAGTTTCTAGTTTAGCATAACTTCATGGACAAGTTTCTACTTTAGCATAATAACTTCATGGACAAGTTTCTAGTTTAGCATAATAACTTCATGGACAAGTTTCCGGTTTAGCATTTCTTCATGGACAGGGTGGATATTACTAAGTACTCTCAAATAACAGTCATAAAGAAATGGATACTGCGTATATACACAACAAACTAATATGTATTTTTTTCAGGATATTTTTATTTGCTTTCAATAAGGCATTTAAAAAGCCGACATATCGAGAATATAACATTTATTTTTCACCAGTCAATAATTTGCAATTTTCTAACATCAGATTTTTTTCTTCAAGTGCATAGCATTACAATCAAATTTCAACGAAAATAATATAACCTTTACACGAAAAGTTCGAAACCTCATTTTGATGTCTATTTATACATAACGACATAAAAACGCACTTTTAACAGTAATGTTTGTTCATATAAAAATACCGTACAAAATATTTAAGAAATCAAAGTTAACTTTTTTTAAACATTTTTGTAACTGAAAATATGAAAATCTACACCAGCACATATCTTTCACCATTTACCCGAAAAGTCTCCGTAAAAATAAGAAATGCACCTTTCCGTGCTTTATTGGTATTCAAAGAAATGTGCCAGGCTTTGCAATAACTTGTATGTCTTTCTCACTTTTAACATTTCACTGTAAATATACTTCATACATTTAGTTTTAAATACACTATTTTACAAATTAAATAATTCCTTTCATCCCTCCACATGGAGCCCGTTTTTACATTGCGTACAGGACTACATGCATACATCCAATTTCAAGAACCGGAAATCAGTGCTGAAGAAAGTATAATTTATCACAATAGCGCGATTTTTTCCAGGTTCTATCTATTGTACAAGAACTTTGAATACATAAAAACATTACACATGTAGTCTCAGCTCAAATAATGGGCTAAAAATGACCTTATTTTATTTTTTGCTCTATGGACATTTATTTTTTAATTTCAAAAAAGAAACAAAAAACCCAAAAGAATTGTAAAGCTAATTTTATAAACAGTTTATTTATTTTCAATCAACAAACATCATGTATTCAACTAACATTTTATTCAAAAACAAACAGAAGGGATAAAAAAACGTCATTTTATGCCCATTTTTACAGTTATGCAAAATTGTTCATTCAGAAACAGTAGCCATTTTGTCTTCCATTTGCACAAATTCATTTACATATTTATAAATGTTATGAGGAAGAAAAGCTTGAAAAAAAATAAACAAAATTGATAAAGTACTATCACAGTTTCTAAATACTTGAAAAAAGTCCGGTACATGAAAGACTCCTTACGAAAATAATTCTAAGTTTTGTGTAACAAGTTTAGAAATTAAGGTTTCAGTTTACAAAGACAATTTCCTTTCATCAAAAAAGCCACGAAATCTTCCGACTTTATCTGAAGATTTGTCATCACTGCTACCACTAAATGTAACAGATCCCTTTTTTAGAAAGAAAATCGAACTTTGAAAATGTTTTTTCCCCTCTCTATGCAAGTGCAAAGGAACATTTTGAACACCCCTCATCAGAAAAAAACTTGCACTGACTTCACAAGCGTTCAATTGTTACGGAAAAGCTATTTTTGCAGTCCCTGTACATAGCTGGATTGCTATTAGCTCTAATACTATCAAAACTAGATTGAATAGAAATTTAAAACCCACATGTCTGTTTTAAAGAAAAATAACATAAAAATGGATCAAAATTTCTTGAATTTCACTTAGATCTTCTCATAAATGAGAAAAAAAAATATTGAAATAAAAATGGATTGAAAGTTTTGCTCTGCTATGCATTATATTAATTACTGAGGTAGAAAATAGTCCTGTTAAATGTTCCCTTTAAGTGAAACAACTAAATATCCAATCATATACGAAAAACTAGGATTCCATATTTCAGAGGTAGCCTATTCACTATTTAAAGAAAACATTAAATAAATACCAGAAAAAAACACCTTGTATATTCATCGCGTGGTGAAAATCAAGTGTTTCATTTATAAATAGGTTACTATTTATAAAGTTCTATTTATAGATATCACATGTCATGTCAAAACACCCTATTGAAATGGCACTCTATACTTTCCCGTATTCTCCAAGAAGTACAATACTGTATATTTACATTAAAAATACAGAATCAAAGCTCTTGGAAATAATCATTTGGTCGAAAAAAATGGACCAATAAAAAAATGCATTTTATTCATAGAGAAACATTCAACGAGTTTATCTTCTTATAAATAATTAATGATTGAACACATTTTTGAATGCGAGGTTGTGGTATTAACAATTCAAGTTTCACGAAAAATCTGGATTTCAAGCAAGCACGTCCAATTTGAGTTCCGACCATCTGAAATGCAGATGCTGAAAGTCAAACCAAACAACCACTACATCTACCTATAGTTATACACAAAGAAAAAATATATAAACCAAAATCATCTGCAAATTGCAGTTTAGTCCTATGCATTAAACTCTTATATTTAGTAAAATAATAGTTACTTTATATAAAGAGCCCGTGGCCAAATAAAAATAAAACCACACCAATCCAGATTTTTTCAGAGCACCCCTTCATGTTAAACCACGCCCTGATGCCCCAGTCTTTAAAGCCAAGCAGAATGTTCAGTGTCCTATCACTTGGAAATATGACCAAGTAAGTATATAAATAAAGATTTTGAAAACACATTATAATATTGTGACCAAAGATTCTTTTCCAAATTCTTTCAAAGATTAAAACGTATGCATGCTGGGCATTTAACAAACTTTAGATGTTGATTTTTTGTGGCATTGTAAGAACATGTGAAACATGCGCTAGATTTAAAGTTACTGGAGGCATTTTAATGTTAAAAAAGGCTAGGCCCTTCCATGATAATAAATAAATAATAATTTATCATGTCACCTTCTCAAACCAATCACATAAAAAAAGGAAACATAAAAAAAACATGAAAACAATTTTTTTTCATATTAACATCTTTAAACAAAAAGCATGACAGTGTAAAAAAAGGATATTTTGTACATAGCACTATTTTTTTCATCTAAATCTAAATCTTTACAATTTAAAAAAGTGTTCTTCAACATTAATATAACATGTATTCATGGATGATAAAAAATGCTTTTTGTTCATACTTCGATGTTGCTTTTTTTGTCCCATGTATTTTCTTTTTTCTTATAAAAAAAGAATGATGATTTTTTTTTCGATTAATGAAGATGATGATGATTTTTTTTTAGAGGAAATGATGAATGAAAAAAGTGAAAATGAAATATTTAAAAAATTAATGAATTTTTGATACATGATTTTTTTTCGCGTAATGAAATGTTACTTACAAGTGAAATATTGATGGGAAAAAAAAAATATATGAAAATATAAAAAAATATCACATTTGAAGAGGATAATATGCAAATTTAAGGCATATTTTGATGCATGGGCGAAACACATTTACATTTGTGTAACAATGCAAATACATGTAAAAAAATGACACAATATACACGACACCGTTCCAATGACAATATAATATGATCTTCGAATTCTTGAGGATACCCGATTATTACGTCATATATTCTCAAATGAAAAATATTACATCATGAAATGATGCTTTTTTTTACCCTTTCCATCTGTTGGAACCCCCAAAAAAGCTTGTTTTTTAATATTTTTTTACCTATTTTGTCATGTGACTATTTATACACGCTTTTGTAGTTTTTTTTTGGTTAACATATACATGTAGTAAATTGATTTTTTAACAATATATACAAAATATATTATTTCTCCAATCTGCGTTGTAGTTCTAAATTAATCTTTACACTTCTATATAAAACATTCAATGCACAGTTCTGCTACAATACGCCTTGTCTATGTGATACAAACGTTTTTTGTGTGATATAAATTAAAGTGTACAAGCTGGGCATCAACCTTTAAACTCAGTGACGATCGAATTGAAATATTGAGAACCAACCTTTAAAAGAATTAAATTTTTTAACACAATAATTAGGTACTATTCCCAAATTATTAAAAGAATGCATCAATTGTATAGGTTTGCTATGCAATTTTACTCTTGACAAGTGTTTTCAAGACTGAAAAATGAAATTTATTCTAAAAATAGATTTACTCTGTCAGATAGTTAACGTTTTTAAAGGTTGATGGCCACTACTTTATATGGAGATAAGTCATTTTGAGATTCTAACCACATGTTAGCAGATCTTTCTGAAATTGAGATTAAAATTATGCTCTTTTTGTGATGAACTAAACTAAATTTATAATGATGATTGACTTTCTAAGAATGATTTGAATGAATTCATAAATTAATATTATTAGAGCTTGAGCTTATTTGTGAACTTTTTTTTCTAACAAAATGTATGTATGTTGAAAATAACATGGAATGATCTGGCAGTAATTTGGTCCCCATAATAAAAAAACCTTAACAAATATCTCTAAGGCACTTAATTCACTCAATTTCTTGTATATATAATATAACGTTTACATATAATAAGCTTTAGAAATGTAGTTCGGTGGGCAGTACAAATTTTTTTGAGTAAAAAACATAGGAACATATAACTTAAACAATATAAAAATAGAAACAAATCAATTTTTTTTTTGCTGTTTAACAATTTTTTAACAATAAAAAATATTAAATGCATTCTGCAATTATATCTGAACTATTTTTTTTAATAAAAATAACATTTTAACTGTCGTATATATTTTTTTCTATCTGTATTTTGTTCACACGTAGCTAAAAGTGAATATCTTGAACGTCTGTGGGTGTCGTTGGTTGTTCTTTTAAATGTTCGTGTTGGGAATTTGAATGATGTGACGGCGTATGTTCCATTTTCGTTGTCTGTTCAACTGTCGTTGCCATTGACGATAAATTTACTGCTAATGTTTGTTCAATTTGTTCTTGGCAGCCACGAAGACAGTCCTGTACAAAACAAAAATAGAAAACCATTTTTAAAAATTTATATTTCAGTAGCCACTTTGAGTATCATCCACATAAAAATCTGCGAAAATTCTATAAGAACCAATATCAAATGCAAATTTCTTAAAACAATACCCAAATTCTAACAAAATTGTCATAAATAACAATTTAGATCAACCTAAAGAAACAAATTGTCAGAGAAGTATCAAACCCAAAGAAACAAAACTTCTGGAAATGTTCTAAAATATCACAGACCTCCTAGTATATCTGAATTACAGTCTATGTCAGATATCTTGATTGGTTGTAATTACAATTTGATATGCACAATCAAGTACAGACTTCCTTAAGGGTTACCTCCCCCTGCTTCAATACCAAACTGCCAATTGTTAACATAATAAAATTCTCCTTTATCTCAATTGTTGATAGATAAAGTTTATAGCAGGATCAATTAATCTTATTTGTGAGTCTACAACAATCTAGGGGAAAACACACTAATTGATAAAGGTGTTGTCTGGTAAATATTTACCCCAAATACTTAACTTTTTCAACAGAAAGTAGATAAAAAAGAAAAGAGAAAAATTTTGGAAAGTGAAATGATGGATTTTAGCGTCTCCATAGTTTTAAGGTTGTGTGAAAGAAATTTACACCCACATATGTTTGTATATTAAATTTCTTAAACTTTTTTTTTCAAATTGTAAATTTCTTCCTTTTTTGTATTTTTTTTTATCATGATTATTATTATTAGTAGTATTAGTATAATTATTTAATTCCATATTTAAAGATAAGAAATTTTCCTTACCATTTCGATACCAGTGATTTGATGTAAACGTTGCAACAATTTAACATCTAAGTGAGGAACATTACTCAAACCATGAACTGCTGCCCCCACACTTCCAGCCGCAATCATTGAGGGAGGGTACATCATAAATTTACAATCTGTAAAATAAAGATGAAATTTTTTTTAAATAAATAAATTTAAAAAAAAAAAATAAAATACAATACAATTTAAACCCTGTAAACAACTATTATGAATTTCTAAGTATATTCTATTAAATACATACATCTTACTGTTATCAGCCTGGGGTATTGATAATATATATCTACTGTGTTGTCATAAAAAAAACGCTCTAAGTCAACCTATAAAGAATGTTTATCAACTGATTGCATGTGCCTTGTGTAATTTTATTGTACTTTTTATAGAGGGTATTTCCTGCAGTCCTGTATTGCAGGAAATCTGGTTAGTGTTACTTAAAGTTCTTATCTAAGAAACCAAATTCTGCATCCACTTTTCTTTTCACTAATTCTTCAGTCTTGTTTAGAAAGAACACAGATTTAAAACTTTAAACTCCACCCCTACACTTGATTTAAAAAATGTTTTTGCCAAGATTAACTCTAGAATTGTTCTACAAATTTTCATTCACAATGGGATTTCATGAATTCAGTATTAGAAATAAGAATGTATCCAGTTTTGATGGTGTGCCATTTATGTGACAGCTGAATGTTAAATAATCTAAATCCCACAGATTCTCTTAAATGGTATTTGTGCAAAGTTAAGCAGATTTCAGAACCTCCTTAATCCTAAATGTACTGAAATGGACACAAGTTTGTGTACATTTCACATGACCCAGCAATGACATTTCAACAATCCTATCTATTAAGCCGACTAGCCAACTCGAAACGAAAACAACAAGATTTCCTATTTATTAATCCAAAAACTGTTACATGGCTGTTTAACACAACTAAACTATTAAATGACATTTTTTTCTGTCTTTTTAAATATCGATTTTCTTAAAACAAAGGAATGATTGACTTTAATTATTTAGTTAAAGTAGGAACTGTCACACAATTTAAAGTTTTTAAACTTTTCTTCAAAACGTTCCAATATATGTCAAAATGATTCACCCTGTGCAAATTTTGACCTTAATTTTCGATTAAATAACATGTAAATGTTATGCAGGAATTCTTGACAAGGTGTTAAACATTGAATTAAATGGTTCAAAAGTATACTGTTAAGTAAATAAAAATATCACTTTAAATCAGAAAATGAATTCAATTTAGAATTTTTACGATATCTTCATACAAAAATATACGTGACTAAGTTAAACAAGATTTGGTATCTGACATATGTAGTCCTTTTTTCATACATCAGTTCAGTAAAGTCAGTAAAAATCAATTCTTTTCTCATTCATAATTATATTCATTTCAACCTACTTTTTTTTCAAAGTTAACTTTTTATAATCTTATCAACAAATAGATAAAAGTACATAAAACCACCTGTTTTTACTTTTAACACTTCTTTTTTCTCCTTATTTATTTTTAAAAATATAAATCAAAATTGCCTAAAGACATTAGATTAAATGTAGATAATAACTATTTTTTTGGTTTTTATCCCTCATGCTTTATTTGTCAACAATAAAATGTAATAAAACTGAACATTTTAAGTTCATTGTTACATATTAAATAATAAAAATTAGTTTTTAAAAAAGTTAGCAAGGAAACTCTAAAACTGCCAAAGGGCATACAACTCTAGCAGGCTTAAGTTAAAATATCCACTTTAGAAGGAAAGAGTAATTTTGCAATCTTTGTATAGAATGTAAACTGTATGTATGTATGTATAGATTTTTACACTGTAACACTAGTCTACTTTATATAACTATTAAGTTAGTTACATATCACACACATACTGCTTATTTTAGTCATATTTTATTGTTATACTGTACCAAGTGAAGGACAGTTATTTTCTGACATGAAATACAACAGTCTTAATAAGTAATTTATCCATACATAGCTGGAATACCTTTACATGCAATTTATTATAAACACCCTTTACTTTCATGTGATAGTTATAATAATTAATCTTTTTAATCATGTATGTTAAAACAGATAAGGCATTTAAACCTTGTATTAATATATATATTAGATGCTTGGGGCATTAATAAGTATTATTTAACAAATATGTTATAATAATAAAATGACTTAAAAAAAGAGAAAAAAGAAAACCCCCAAAGATGATGGGATCGGAAATCAGATCAGCGGTTTAACTCAGTTTATATATTGTGGTTTAACTCGATTTATGAGTGAAATATCTTTACCCTTTTAATACTGGAGTAAAAAATCTAACAGGTTTTCACCCCAGCGAACCTTGCGGTTTTATCTTTCTTCACAGAGAAAAAATTATCTATTTTTGCTACAGCTAAACATCTTCTTTTAAACTATAGGCCTAAGAACTTTCATGGGAATACACACAAAATTCCATTCAACTTATTTTCAGTGCAAAGCAATTAAGAGTAAAAAAGCCGGGACTGATCAAATTACTGAAAAGATAGTGTATCTTTCAGCGATTCAAATAGCTACTCGTTCTGAACAAATGCCACACAAGGTTGAAAAACTACAAATAATTGAAGCTAAAAAATATCATAATAGAGTAACAAAAAATTTATTACTTTTTTGGGACATTTATAAAAACAGATTCCAAAGGATAATAATTACCTGTTGCGCATAGTGCCACAAAAGTCTGTGCATGTTTTTTAATCACCTCTGTTTGTTCTTTTTCTAATGCTAATCTACTCAAAATTTGCTCTAAAAAGTCTTGTGGTGTAACTGCTGATAGGTCCCATTTTAACTTGCTTAACAATAATGATTCCATGTCCTGAAAAGAGAAATCAGAACAAATTAAAGAATGCGTTTTTGAAATAAATCATACAAAGTTTAAACAAATTAATAACATTAGAATATAAATTTCTCATTCAAAAGTTAGGACAAATCGTAGACATGAAAAGTGTTACATGTTTAAAATGTTCAATTCTGTGTTTTAATCCAACAAAAAAGTTCAAAAGTATACATTTAATACTAAAGTATCTTATTTGGGTACTCGAGCCTTATTACCTACTTTTTTTCAGACCAATAGGTCAAAAGCACTCAAGCTTGTATGCTTTTAACAAGTTCTTAAATCATTAATTACAGTTTTAAACAACGGGATTTTTTTCTCATGTAATTCAAGGTTTGTGTGTAGTATTGAATTCAGTGCTAAAATCCAAATCTTATAGTTTCGTTATTTTCGGTTTCATTTTATAGTTCTTTAGCCAACTTTTTACTCTATAATTGAATGTTGTAAAGGTATGATAAGATCAATGGTATTTCATTTTACTTCAATAGTAAAATAAACATTTGGCCACCTATAAAAAGACGTATTTATCTATACTAACATGGGAAAATGACTTTCTATCATCAGAAATTTATCACAAATTCGACCTAGCCCACAAGTAAGGTAAAGTTTGTCATTCCAAAAATTGTATGACCAAGTGGAGTGAAAACCAACTGATAAAAAGTTAAGAAAGATTTTTAAATAGAATGAATTATTGCTTTTAATGCATAGGAATGTACACTAAACTATGTGCTCTGGGCAAATATTTTCAAATCATTACATCTACTGTGCGTTTGTGAAGACCGCTAAACGGCTATTAAAAAAGCTTGTCGAATTAACAAATCTGAACATTGTGCAGCCTTTCAGAGCTCTTAATTGAATCCCACGTGCGATTACGTAACAGCTCGTGAACTACCGGAAATACTAAATAGCTTTCAAGCTGAGCGGTAGTCGAAGAAAATTCTCGAGAAAAGCATGCTTTTATTGATTTTTTTTCAAAATTGATCGATGTAATCAACAAGATCGGTTTTTTGGAGGTCGCTCAAGATAATTATTTCTTTCAACAAAAAAACATCGTGGAGATTAAGAGTTGGCCAGAAAAGTCGGTCAAAAATAAACGTCATTTCTGACGTCACTTTTAAACTTGTCACTTTTATAAATGTACTGCACGACCTCCTGTCAGCTGATTTCACAGCTGTTTCCAAGAATAGATTTAACTTGGTAAAAATTGAGTAAAACATTTACCATTAACATTGATAAAGTTATTGAATGGTCCGTGTATATCACAAGTTTTTCCGCTGAAACTGGACATGTCTCTTTTAATTTTGAAGCAATAAACATGCACGCTGCACCCAAAAGTTGTAGTCTAGTCCGTGGAGTATCACAAACACTAAGAAATCTATCCAAATAATTCATTGCTAACGAAAACACTTCCTCTTCGCATCTCTGTTCATCGCATACCTGCAATAGATAAAACAAGAGTATTCATCGGGGTCCCCTTCAATATAATAGCCATAAGTATCTACTATATCCTTAAATGCGAAAAGCAATTAATAACTGCTGATTAAGTATATAACTTTTACCACGAGGTACGTACGAGGATATAATATTCAATTTGTCGCTATCCAGAAAACCGGGGCAAAATTTTAGCATGCTCGACAGCATACGAAGATTTCGAGCTATTCGACTAACTTCACAAAGCTCCAGAAAACGCGTGTAACTTAAACATATTTTCATGAATGTTAATAAAACTTGGACCTAAAGTTGACAACATATTTAGTATTCTAATAGACCTATTAGTTTAACAATCGACCGCACAATTTAATTTTTATACAATAAGAAATGCAAAATTTTCACATGACATATGAAAAAAATCTAACAAAATAGGTGTTAGAAAAAAATGGTGTCAAAATTTTATTTAACTTCATTCAAGCGAAATTCGAAGAGTTTTGAAAGGATAAGAATCCTAGTAAACCATCTGCACAAAAATTCCGTCGTTTAAATCTATGCAAATATGTTTAGTGCAACAATCAGTAAATGACTGCTCAAAATTAATGCGTCATGTCTCGCCATCTTGGTTTTTGCAACATTGACAGAAATTATCCAAACTTTAAAAAGTGATAAAAAATTCAATTTTCATCCAAAATTCGTTCTAAATGCATTAAAATAACCGTGTATTTATCCTCTATCCAATGACAAAACTGTCATTTACGATTATTACAGGAAACATAGAATTATTTTCAACATTCCAAAGCATGGTACAGTAGTCGTAACACAATTTACCTCTAACATCCATTGTGCAACCATTTTTCTCATATAACGTTTAATGTCTGTCTGAACACATTTGAAATAAGCAGGGTTCGGTTGATATCTGTCTTCTAGAGCTAAAAGATTCTGTAAAACTCTATTGTCTTGAATTAACACTGGATCCTCGTACGCCCGTCTAGGGGCTTCCGACTCTGCACACATTAAATCCATTTCGGAAATTTGTGCAATAAGTCCTTGATCAGTGTTCATGAATAAAAACAATCCTCGCGTTGAATGGAAACTAACAAATAATTTTCACTAAGGCTGCAAGTTTGGCCGGTAAAAATTAGCGGTTAAACTTGCTAGAATCAATTCACACACGTCCGTACTCTGAGATGATCACCGGCCAACAAATTTTACATTTGCCAGTGATCGATCAAAAGTATTTCATTGATTCCTGGTGCGCATGCGCACAGACGATACAATTTGACAGGTAAGGAGAATAACAGTTGATGTTTACGTGTAAAAATTATAAATAAATAGAAGATACAGATTTAAATGAACTTTTTTGCCTCCTATATGTAGAACATTATAATATACATACGAAATGTGCATTTTTAAAGCACAAAAAGTTAAAATAATATAATAGATCAACTTTCTTTCTTTAACTCGTTACGCCCACCTCGTAAATATTCATGAGCCAGCTGTTAAACCAAAACAAAGGAACTGAAATGTTTTATACTACAAAATCAATAGATCAATGACATACTATCAGTTAAATTTTTGTATTTAGGAGAATCCCACACGGAGTTCTATTCTTATGCCTTTAAAACGCATATTGATATAAAAGTTTGGCTTTTTAATGTACTTTCTTTTCTCGACCCATCCTTGGTTTTGGTCAATTTTAGCGGTAAACTCTAAAATGCAGTAAGGCATCGTACTGCAAGTAAAATTTTGCAGGTAGAATGTAGTTAAACATATATATACTCTATGTTAAGATGCATAAAAATGAAAATTTTATCGTTGATTTTATTTGATTTTTTCGCTTATTTATTTCGCTGCATGTTCGTCGCTTAGCTTTGTCTCTATTTTTAGTGAAACTAAATCAAGGTCATTTGAGAACGTCATCCAATCAGAAGTTACCGAGTATACATGAATGAAAAGAAATACTACGTGTCCCCGACGGTGTGGGGTCGACCTACTACATGGTTAAGGCCCACCCTATTGCAGGTATATTATAGGGAGATCGGTCCTGATTGGTCAGTGGTAAAAAAGGGAGCGGTCACATGTATCTTCCAGGTCCTCGAGAAAAACCAACAACAACAACAGTTGAATTTAGACAATTTTAACATTTTTCAAAAATAACATTTCGAAAAAGACCAATTTAGATACTTTTTTTCCTCTGTACAGTAAAAAATAAGAAAATAAATGTTTTTTTATTATAATATATTTTATATAATACTACGATAATGAAATATGTATTTTTCATGTTTATAGGGGAAAAAATAAAAACGCTTAAGGTGCAATAACACCAATTAAGAACTTCAACCTGTCAAAAAACTACAATAATGACCCGTGTCCACTTCAAAATTATTAAAATTTATGTTCAAATTAACATGAAATCTGACATACTGATGGCTTGCCATTTTTTGTTTTGTTTTTTTCGCTTTGATTTTACTAGAAGAGGAAGGGAGACAACATATCAGTATGATATTTATATTCAGTTACCATACCGACAAGAGATGTTGATTTGTCGGCCCCTCAAAAGCTCCCCTAAAAATACTCAAACGTAAAAACGTGGTTCATAGTAAAGGAATGAAAATTAACATGTTATGGTAAGTATGTCAAAAAAGCACTGATAATTGGTGCTTTTGTATAGATAGATAGATATTTAACTAAAGAGCGCAATTTTCATACTTAATGACTTACTCATGAGTTTCATAATGGCAAAATATTTGTATATGTATTGGGGAAAAATAAACAAATATTGGATATTTTAAAAATTGACAATTAACAAATTATACGATATACAACATACAGTTGGAACGTTTCTATTGTTATGATACTGTATATAATATATAGGAGAGAGAACCTAGCACTTGGAATGTCTTCTATATTCGACAGATATGTGAAATATGATAATTAAAGAAACGTATACAATATGGTCTAACAAATCAATTATTTCTTTTTACTATATACTGTACTATCGCATTCTTGTTTTACAAAACAATAGTTTGTAGGACAGTAGAACTTTGAAAGTATCAAGTAACACAACTCTTATATTTTTATTATTATTTAAAATTCGGGCTCTAAAAAATTTGGAGACACGCGAGCGTTCCAATTTTCAAATCTATGTCTTCATTCAATGCCAGACGCTTAAAGTGAAACAAAACGCATAATTAATACGTGTGACCAACTTTATTTGGCCTTGATGGTAGATTATAAGATAAAGCTCGTGCAAACACTGGTTTCTTATTACTTACCAATTCATAAGCAATAAAAATAGTAAATATTTAGACAATAAAAGCTATTGTATGCCAGTGAGAAGAAATGAAGTGGAACTCAAAAGTGTCATTCTGTACCTTGTAGGTGTAAAATTATATAGTAATTTGAGCCGAATATAGATAATATTTTGTTACTAATGATCATTTTATCCAAGTTGTAAATTTAAGCAGTCACTCATGTAAGAACTCTGCTGGAGGGGTGTCGAGTTTCGAACATTATTTGTTCTGAATGTCTCCGATTCCATTTCTGGAAGGTATAAAATAATAAGTAATAAAAAGTCAAAAGACAGACTGCCACCCCATTGTAAGACAATAATATTATGATCTTCAAAGATAGAAGAAAAAAAAAACAATGACTTTTTTTCGGTCAGTATTTTCTGGGTTTTTTTTTCTAGACATTTGGCATAACTACAGACAGAAATGAGTGGTCTTGATTGAAATATTCATAATATGACACCGTAAAATCAAACTAAAACTACTCGGTCAAGCTCGAGTCACTCGATTGTTTTTCACGGAAAGGCAAGTGGTTACCATAGTAAAGTAAGCCCACAAGATTTAAGCCCCTTGAATTTAGTTGCCATGATGATAGGATAAAATATCGCCTAAACAAAATTCGAAAACAATCCTGCAGTTAATGAAGATGTTGATTAAAAGTTGTATTTATTTATACAATGTTTGTAAATAAACTTCAACAGTTCTATTTTCTTTAACACACGTATTCCAGGCCAAAAAAATAGATGGATGAATAAAGAAAGACGTTAATAACCTCACTGTGTTCGATTTTAAAGATTGTGTTCGGAATTTATTCGAGAAAATTCAACATAAAATCACCATTTATCAATTCCTTTCTTAAATAGTAACATACATGTTAGCACACTAATTTATCAATATAAATAAACATTTACGAAAATTCAATAATTTTCATTTTCTTTAGACTGAAGGACCAAAACTGGTACTCGCTGGTATAAGTATTCTCGTCTGCAACAGAAAGTGCGCGTTTTCATTCATTTCCACAGAAAAAAGGAAGAGAAAACGAAACGGATATGGTTGCCCTTTACGGAATTCGGTATTCGGATTTTTTCAATAGATAAAACAGATTTTCAGGGCATTACATTCGCGATACGATCTTTATCGAACTTGCCATAGACTTTATTCTAAATCTTATCACATGACTTTTGACACATCTACAACACTCAAAATACCTGTAGACCATTTATCAATAACCGCTTTCGTCGTTTTAAATACACCGATCGCCTGTTTACTGATATAAGTAAAGATTTTGAAAAGGTTTTCAATAACTCAGGGGCATTATCGAAAATGGTCAATTTTACTATATGAGAAATAGGCGCAATCAGCGGTCTGGTCATTTAATCAGTTACAATATTGTGTAACTTTTACAATCAGGTAAGTACAGGACAATACTATCATCGTGTCAAGGTGATTTGACCATAGTGTTCCAATAAGTGCTACATTTTTAGTCTATACTCAAGAACAATCTGTAATTTTGCCACGTATGAATGTGCGACTATGACAAGTATCGTGACAAATACACCATATGCGTTACTTTGTGCACGCCGACACCCAATGCAACCGTCGGCACAATTTTTTTTTAAAATTCAAATATTTGTATATCTACCAACTCTGCATGTATATTGATTGGTCAATGTTTGTTATAAGACGTGTCACTTCTGACAAATGCAACATATGCGCCCGAGTTTGTGCAATTTCAAATTCAAAATAACGAAACATATCGCGCACGTTCAATGGCTAGATTTGAACAGCACGCGCTTGGAACTTCCAGTTCTAGTATAGAATTTGGCGTATGAAAAAATACTCAAACATTTTGCTGATTTTTATGAAAAAATCTTGCTGTACGTAGTAAAATTTGTGTTGCAACACTTACATCCATATTCTTATATAGATAACTTTTAGTTTGTTGATTTCGTGAAAGCAGAAAAAGCATTTTAGCGAAACTGTTGCAAAACGCTTTTTTTTAACTTTATCCGAAGTGATCGATTTAATAAAGATCTTTTACTTTAAAAATTAATATGTTTATTTTTTGTTTTGAATAGTGTCTATTAGGGGTGTATAACCTTAAATGTACCATGCAAGATTTTATTTAAAGTTAATTCAATATTAATGCATAACTATAAAATTTATTGATGGATTTTTATTATCGTTGACGTTGTTGTTTTTTTGTTGTTGTTGTTGTTTGTTTTTTCAAAAGAAGAAACACACTTAATGATTGTATTAATAAATCTTTTTGGAATTGTTAAAATGTTTATTCACCATATATGATTTTAAAAATTAATGCCAAGTCCCACTTTTGCAAATTGATGTCCCATTTTACTTTATAATGCATATATATCTATCAGATTTATATACGTTTTCTTGATGTATTTAGACTGACAGATGTGCAGACATTTTAATTTTTTATAATTCCCGAAGATTAGAAAATAGAGAGTACATAATCACAATTATATAATAACAACAATTGGTCCATTGGTTTTCTAACACAATGACAAAATTATGGCGTCAAATTTCGAGTAAGCCGGAAAAAAGATTTCTACAGATCGTAAGTGTTGTTTTTCAGACAGGTGTTATTCTTACACCCAAGCCGAAGCTTTATTCGTCCTATTTTACCAATCTAGAATATGAAAACAGTAGGTAAAGTAGTGCCATCATTGGTGAGAAGTGGCAGAACAGCACGGTGCCCTATACATTTAAACAGACAGACAAGCGACCAGTCGAAGGTGTAAAACACAATGTCGCCCTACTCATTTTTTCGTCATTCTTTTTTTTTTTGCCATTTGTTTATATATAAAATATTTGTACGTAATTGTAACTTTTTTGTGTCCATGTGTTAGTCTACCTTACATAATGTAGATCATTTGTTACATAATTGGATATACCAAATAAAAAAAAT